CATTGGAGAAATAATCCAGTTTGTACACAAAAGGCATGTAAGTCATATCAGAATTGTTTTCCTCCCCTGTATTTTAGTACATGAATATTCATTTGTAGTAGTTAACTCCTAACTATGCTTTATACCGCTGAACAAAAAATGAAAGAGGAACAGGAGGTAGTATAATGTAGTAGACCAAAGACCTGCAATTCCTGAGTTCTAATTCTGACTCTTCTACTTATTTGCTGTGTGGCCTTGGGAAATTCACTTAATCTCTCTGGGTTGAATTCAGCTGTTGCAGAAGTTGAAGCAATGTTTTCTGAGCTAATGAGAGTTGTACCTCCTTATGCTAGGGCTGAATTTGACTCTCTCTTTCTAAGTTTCTCCATTTGTAAAATCCAGAGTATAGTTACTCTTCCTCATACGGTTGGTACGAAGGTGACTTAGATAATCTTTGTAATGTGCTTGGAAAATGCACTGCACTAGATAAAAGTGTGGATTGTTATTGTCATTTAAAAATGATAAAAGGTTCAAAGTATATTTTGTATCACAGTAACTAACAAATATTGTTACAAAACTAAAATCCTAACACCTGTCCCCAGGGACTAGTTCTCAAAATAATGACTGGTGAACCTCAAAAGGTTGCCCAGGTGGTACAATGATAATACTTCCCCAGTTCATTGGGAGTGTTGTGACAACATTGTTAATGTTTGGGAGGCATGTAGCTACTGTGGTGCTGCTCATAAGAGTGTCTAAATAGAGAGCGAATGAGTGAGTTAAGTTGCCATCCTGATAAACATAAATGCTTTTCTTGTGGCATTTCAGCACTTCCAGAAATATGGAGAAGCAGAGAGAGAGCAAAGACGGTGGAGTCTGTTGGAGGGTGAGATGGGTGGAAGAGGTTCAGGAGGTATTGGAGGGGTGAGGTGAAAGTGTGTGTGTGGTTTAAGTTTGGAGTGGGAAGAAGATTTTTATAGTAACCAATCTGAGCAGAAGGTTTGGGTTTGTGTTTTTCAAGACTGGTTGCCTGTCCTTTATATATTGTTTTTCATCCATACATCTCAAAGTAGCTTTCTGAAAAGGGGTAATAATGTGTCCTCTCCTGCTCTTGCATCTGACAAATACATTTTATTTGGCTGACCAAGTCCAGACAACTTGTATATAATAACTAGGATCACATATCATTACTAAAATCCTCACATTGGAACAGAGTCACATCAGTTCCCTGTTAATTTTTAAGTCATCAACTACCTGTGGGTTTTTTGGTTGGTTTTTTTGCGGGGGTGGGGGGAACGGGGTGCTCTTGGGGGTGTTTTTTGAGACTCCAAAGCAGTCTTGGGAAGAAGTAGGATCAAATTATCCAGTCATCTAGCTGACGTATGACAAATCCTTCTTTGTAGGCAGTCCGTGAGTTGGTTTCCCTCAGAGCGGCCTCTTGATTTGGTGCCCTATCTTCATTCAGGAAAATGATAATCATGGAGGATTTTTGGCCTCCTGTAGCATTTAGTACTTCCCTCTCAAGTTAACTTTCTCCTTGAGAAAATCCATAAGATGAACTGTGTCTACAGCCTGATAACAGATTAACCTAAACATGTCCTGAACATTGAGACGTTGACATATTTAAGCTCGTCAAAGGCCAATAGCAAGATGGGTGGTTATTGGCATAGATGCAACCAAAAAAATGTGGAGGCAAGAAATTCCTTTTCCTATTACTTGTTTGTCACCAGTGCAGAAACTGATTCAAGCTAGGGATGTAAATAACATGTAAAAACAATAACCATGTAACTGATTAAAATTCTATCGGTTATACGGTTAAATGTTTAACTGGGAAATTAGAGGTGCGGTGGGTGCTGCAGCACCCCCATGTTTTAGGTGGGGTCCTGACTGCTGGCCCCGCACCTGGAGGTCCCAGCTTCCAGCCCCATCCCTGGGACTCTGCATGGGGTGACAGCAGAGCCCCTGGGCAGAGTTTAATCATTAACAGAAACTGATAAGGATTAGGCTTATCGTTTAAGCAGTTAAACTTTTCAAACAGGGTTGGAAACAGAGATAGGAGTGATGTAGAGGCTTTAATGGGTGGATTGCTCCATCTCCAGAGTAAACTCCAACAAATTGGGATGCTACTTTGACTCAGCATCCTTCAACAACAGATCACAAGTGCTAGGCCAGCAATATTGTAGCTTGATCAATGGGCAGGGATAGCCAGCTGGTTAAAGACCATCAGACAAGTTGAAGAAGGATTCCGATTTCCAGGAAGGAAAAGGCCTATTGAGATAGATATATACAGCTCTACGTACATGGAGAGAGTACCACAGATTTTTTTTCTCTCCCCCAGGTTTGGGATAGAAGCTAGGGAAGTAATTTCTTGATTGACAGAGAAGTCTGGCCTATTAGGTTGAATTTCCCCTTTTTGTGTCACAAGTAACTTTCTGAAAGTATTTTATGTAGATTTTAAGCTCTTAGGGACAAGGACCATTACTTCTTGCATGTCTGTAAAGCACTGAGAACATTATTGATAAATAATCATGACTGGTTTAGATTTCTCCTAGATGTTGATTACTGGATGGCTCAAGTGATTGATAATAGCATATGAAGACTTACACTTCAGATCTAATCTGACCATGCTGATAGCAAACAAAAGTTAGCATCTGTTTAGTGGCTTGTGTGAAATGAATTGATGGTCTCAATCCACTTTCAGCTGGACAACTAGTTGACCCTTTATATAAAGACAAACATTAATTCAAATGGCATTTTATATCCATTTGAAGTCAAAAGGTATAGACCATGGGTGAGTTACCCTAGCAAAGTGGGGAAGCTTGGAGTGCCATGTCTCATGAACTGAAGATTTTGTTCTCTAGGTATTTTAAGCAGGCCCTTTTCATGAGTCCTAAATTCATTCTAAAAATGTTTTTCTTGGACTTTGTAGCTCCTAAATTTATGGCTTGGGCCACAGAATCTCTTGAAAGCAGCATTCAGAACATTATGTTTGTATTATTTCTTATGAATATTCTGATTCTATGGAATTGCCCCATCTCAGCACTTCAACAGTACATATGCAAGTCTGGACAACCTCAAGATAATATTTGTACTAATAATAGATTATTCTATCTCTGTGTGAAGAGAATGCACATCTCCTCCTTGAATCAGACACTGGACTGTCAGATTGTTTTCTGACAACATAAGTGATTAAAATTCCTTCTCCTTTTGAAGTTAGCTTGTGAGACAGACCCTCTGGATTCTCAGCAGCTCCCTCCAGACTGATTAGTGAGAGCTTGTGGAAACCATTTATTATTTGGGTGAAAATTTGATTGGGATTTGGGTTTTTTTTATGTTTGCATTGAAAACTGATGACTATTTATACATAAAAACCCACAGGTCTTTGAAATGGAAGCAGTAGTGTTTTTATTTCTTGGTACTCTATATGGAGTGGTTATTAGTTGTGCAGTGGTGTCAGATCTACAGATAATAGGGGATTAGGGCTAGCAATAAAGAAAACTGGAGGGAGACGGGGACAAAGGGAGAGGATGGGGGTGGGGAACAGTTTGGTGACCCTTGTCACAGTTTCAGTGCACCTGTATTCCCCCACCATAGTCCACAAAGGGCATGTACTTTAGGCTTCTGGGTCCCAGCCATCACTTTTCCTGGGCAGCAACTGGTCTCTCACTCTGTCTTGACTGGGGATTTTAAGGCTGCACCGCTCCCTGATCTATACTGTGATATCACCAGACAGCCTAAAAAGGCCAGTGCCTGCGATTTGCTTTCTTGCCAAGGGCTATGACTGGTGTATTGTCCATAGTTATAAATTACCACATAACTCCTTCTAAACAAGCACATTTATTCTTAAGGGGAAAGCATTAAAACAATAAAAGAAGCTACATGCATGCTAAAAAGCTACCAGAGATCACTCCAACTCTGACCAAGCATCTGGAAGTTTACAGGTTTCCCTGGGGTTACAAGTTCATATCCATCTCAGACCAGAAAGAAGGGTGGGTAGATCAGCTGTTTCTTTATACAGGTCAGTCCTTTGATTTTGGCTTTCTGTAACAGATAATCACCCTTGCCTTAGGCTTCAAGAGGCTGGGTTTTTGCATAACGAGAGGTGGGGAAATCTGCATTCATAATCTCTGCCTAGGAATTCCCCAGGAAATCCACTTAACACTTATTGTCCCAGAAGTCCATACTTGTTTGGCACATTTTCGATACAGTCTTTTGAACTTCCAGGTTTCACATCTATCACATCTCCCTGCTGGAGAGCTTATGTACCATTCAGGCCGAAAATAATATAAACACATAAGGAAATTGCTCTATCTGTAACAGTCCTGCTGTCTTGTATTGACAGGCCCTCGAAGGAGCCATGTCCAACCCCCCTCAGGTGAGGGAAGGTCAACCAGGTGGAGTAGTGGTGTGTGTGTAAAGCAGTGGCGATGGGCAAACTGAATTTTGAATGAATAAATTCCACAAATTCAGCTCAGTTCAGGTTGTTTGCCCCACTGGTGCTGCCAGCAGCATTCCCAGTGCCCGTTCCGATGGGTCTCACCCCCTATCCTCTCCTCATGAGGGAAAAACAAAATAGAAGAATAAGATCAAGAGCAGCATCTGTATTCCCCTAGCTGGCAGAGCTGATGTGCTCCTAGTGCCTGGTCTACTGCCACCAGGATGCCTCTCAATCTTATCTTTTCTTTTTTGCCTCCTCATGAGGAGGAGAAAGGAGGTGAGACCCATAGCTCATGGGGAAGGAGAAAGAAGCAATAGCCCCATTGGTGTGTGTGTGTATATATAGACACATGTGCGGGGAGGGACAGTGAAGACAATTCTGGTCTTGGCACTCCAACTGCAGGAGGAACTGGCAAAAGGTGATCCAAACCCCAGTGTATCTGACCCATCCCAGGGGGCTGGGGAAGATTGTCCTACTCCTGACACCCCTTCTATATGATGAGACACCCAACTGCTGGAGGGAAGAAGCTGTTCTTCCACCATTCAATGTTATTTGGGGAGGTGAGAGGGAGGTGGTCTGTACATCGTCCAAACAAGAGGAACACCTTCCCCCCAATATAAATATTAGCCAAATACAAATAATGGTCTGTTTGCCCAACACTAATAAGCAGAGAGTGAAATGAGGATCTTGGAAGTCCCTCACCACACCCCAAAGACAGGAATGAGTGGGAGGGACTGAAAGTAAAGTGGGGAGAGAAACCTGTGCCCTGCAAGGCAGCCACTGTTTTACTCCAATTGTGCAGACGTGAGCGACTAGCAACTGGTAGAAATTCTGTAGCCTGGTGTCACGGAGTCACCGAGCAGCCAGTCAGGACTCTGGGGAAGCCTCCTCTCTGTGAGCATACTGTCTCCAGGGCAAGAAGCTTACACAGATTCGATCTTCCTGAGTCTGACCTTGGAGCATTCAGCATCCCCTTCCACACCATGCACTTCCCACAGCGAGTCCGCACAGGCGGGGCTGCTGGGGAAGCCAGAGGGCCCTCCACCCCAATTCCGCAGTCAGACGTGACTTTGAGACAGCCAGTAAAACAGAAAGTTTATTAGACGACAGGAACACGGTCTAAAACAGAGCTTGTAGGTACCGGAAACAGGACCCCTCAGTCAGGTCCATCTTGGGGGGCAGGGAGCCCAGAGCCCCACCTGGGCCTCTCTCCATTTCCCTGGCCAGCTCCAAATTGAAACTCTCTTGCCCCTCCTCTGGCCTTTGTCTCTTTCCCAGGCCAGGAGGCCACCTGATCTCTTTGTTCTCCAACACCTTCAGTTGGCAGCTTTACAGAGGTGGGGCCCAGGCCATCAGTTGCCAGGAGACAGGGTGTCGACCATTCTCTGTGCAGACAGCATCACACTGGCCCTCTAGGGCTCTGCCACAATCACATCCCCTTATTCCACCACCTAGATAATTAAGAAATGCCTAAGGGAAATTGAGACACCCACACAGTATTCAGAGAAAACATTAAGAACATTCCCACTTCGTCACACCTGGAATTAGAGAGAAGCAGAAAAGATAAATATTACAAATAAATAATAGCTTAAATTTAGTAACGGGGCTGGGGGGGTTGTATTGGAGTTTCTTCCAACTACTAATCCAAAGGCTACTCAGAAGTGAAACATTGGAGGTGACATATTGGTCTGACCCATTGAAAACATTTGGAAGGAATCCCTCTAGTGACAAACAACCATGAAATGAAATCTTGAGGCTATATCCATTCCCTCCTTCAGACTCTTCCCTTCTCATATGAGTAAAGATACTGCTAATCCCCCAACAGGCAAACTTGCTTAAGTTGCAGGGACTAAGCTAATTAACAGATGGTCACTGTTAAGGTTGTTTGAGTTTAACTAAATGCAGCATGGACACACAACTGTCATTATCCTGTTCTCACCTATTCCGGTGGTCAAAGTGCACTTGGTTAAAGTATAGGGGGCTGCTGGATGGCTTTATCAAGGGGCAAGACTTGAGTGCTCCCCTTTCCTAGAAATAATTTCTCTCTGACAACTTAAAGAGCACAATGTTTTAAAAGAAGTTAAATATTAATTCTAAAATGCCGAAATGACAGTCCATCTACACTGCAGCTGGGATCATGCGTCCCAAGCATGGGTGGACAGATAGATGTGTGCTCAAGTAGCACACTAAAAATAGTAGTGTCCGTGGAGGGGGGCTTAGCATGATAGTTTGGGTTGGCCTCCTAGGGAATGTACTCTGGTGGCTAGCCTGAGCTGCTGTCCATATTACCCCTGGCCACACAGTCACATTTTTAGTGCACTCGCTTGAATAGAGGTGGCAAGTGTCTGTGTTGGGAAGCATGGTCCCAGCTACAGTGTGGCTGTACCCTAAGAAATGCACTCAGATATCCTCCCTTATGAACCAGCCTTGAATCAGTGTTCTAACCATGTCCTATAAGGCAGCTACTGGGTCACTCCAATTATACATCAGCACAAGGTTGTTTTGTACAGGATTCTCACTGTTATAATGTGCTCAGTGTGGCTTGCACCTGTGTGGTTTGGAGAATGGCCATCCAGCACTGAACCAGACTAAGCGTGCACTGATATTTTAAATATGAAATGATATGTGCTCACTCACTTTCTCTCTAAATAAATATAAGAGATGTGGGTACAGACACTCAAAATGGAGAGCAACATAGGAGCAAGGGGAGAGGAAAAGGAAAGAGCTTCTATTTACCAGGATGACAAGATTCCATTGTATGGAGAATGTTCAGCATCTAAAATTTAATCTGTTACTATTCACTGCTATTGCTTTAATTAACATAACACAGAGAAAATAAACAGTGAGACTGCATAGATACGCTCCCCCCTTTGTGATTTTCAGATGCTAAGGCAAGAGGTACAAAGAAGGTGGGGATGAGAGAAGGTCCCAAGGGACATGGTGCCAAGATGGTCAGACTTATTTTATTAATTTAGATCTCCATTATTGTCTCTCTTCTAGTCATTTCTGAGAAGGACAAGTTAGTTTAGCAAGAGAATTATTTCACAGCCATAGAGTGACACATTTAACTCTTAGGTCCCTGTGATACTACATATTAGAGTATGCATCAGTTTCATATCCCTACCCCCAAAGCAACTGACCTGCAAGAATCCCTCCTTGTGCCAATAACTCCAAACATTTTAACACCCCCCCCCCAAATCACTCCACTGGACTTCTCCCAACTGCCAAACCCTACCACAATCTCCCTGACCCATAAAGCAGCTTCATAACCCTCCTGCCATCCTCTGTCAACTGTCTTAACCCACCTTATCTTAGCTTCTGAATGTTACTGCAACCTATCTCCCAGCAAGCAACTTGAGCTGACTCCCCTCATGCTACCTTCTCACCTACTGACCCAAAACTGGCACTCTCATCTCCCATCCTAGCTGCCAAACTCTTCCTCAGTCTTATCTACAAGATAGGTGCCCTGAGCAGACTCCTCTTCCACCTGCCAAACCCCCCTGCTAGCTCTGAGCCAAGAGATGCCTCATTCTTCCTATTTCTAGGTATTGTGCACCTGGAAAATCAGGGAGCATTTTAAGGGATTAAGGAAAGTGGATTTAGAATTGGAAACCCTTTTACTTTTTAAAATTGCCCCCTCTCTCTGTAGTCTACCTATCTAATCTATAAAGTACTCAGTTGCCACAGTACCTAATGCCAGTCTGTGGATATTGTTTAAAACTTTCATCTACTATCATATTTCATTTAGGTACTGATATGCAAACTGTGCTCTTTTGAAAATCTGGTCCCTAGTGTCTTATGGGTTTAAATTAAGCTCTTTGGAACAGGAACTCTGTTTTTTATTTTTCACTTTGTACATCTGCCATAAAAATAAGAGCTGGAAGAACATATCTGGTCACCCAATCCACATCCCAATTCTTCTCAGTCATCAGATCCCCTATTGCACTATGTGAATAATTATAACCGTACTTAAGTTGTGTTCTATAGTTCAATAACAAAAATAAAGTATGTAGAAATATTTTTTCTGAAACCCCTAGAAATAATACATTCATGTATTCAGTTTAGGAGTTTGTAGAAGTTATATCTGTCCATTGAGAAACCTGGATTACACTTATATGTTATCCATGGATTCCAATAAGCTGGCTAGACAAATTCCAATCACATTAGTAACTCACAACAGGGCAGTCATAACAAATGGCAAAATACATTTTAGGCACCAGGGATATGACAAAACATAGAAAAAGTAAATTGAATTTCAGGACACAAACCTATGCTACACATCCTTATGTTGCAAAACACATATAGCATCAAATCATAGCCTTTCTCAGAACAGGTCTGACACAGAAGGAACAAAACAAACACTATAATAGAAGGAATCAGACACACATTTTTCAAGATTCTGAATGAATAGTTAGACTTGAATATCTCCTGGACCAAGAATTCTCAGATTCTCGCCACCTGAGATCCTTAAAAGGAGCCACGCTTGTTTATTGTGAACCTAATCCCACCATTCTTTGCACTCACATCCCACAATCCTTTGGAGTCATATTACCAAACCACGGTAATATTCCAGTTTACTGGAATCCATGGATAACATATAAATGTAATGCAGGTTTCTCAATAGACAGATATAACTTCTACAAACTGCTAAACTGAATAAATCTGACTACCAGATTGAAAGAATTCTGGTTGAAGTGAGAAAAATGTCTTCTTATCATATTCCCCACTAATTGGCAGAATAAGGCAGAAACAGAATAAATATAGCACCCTATGCCATAGCACGTCATGTGACTATACAGTGGCAAATTATTACACATTATACATTTGAATTTGTAAATAAAGTACTAAGTGGTTGATCTGCACTGTTGAAGTTCACTGTTCTCCCAAATGCTGGAAAAAGCAGCAAGGACATGCAAACAATGTATCACTTACTAAAACCTCAGAAAGCTACAGAAGCAAAGGGACTCACTGATTTCCACAATAAAGCTTTAATGGGAAGTATATCGTCTTTGAAAGGATCATAGCTGGTGATCATGAAATCCACAATGTAACTGAAATATTTTCCTGACAGTTCAAGTAAATCTATCACTTGTGGAACATGTGCCTATGTGGGAAAAGGTTGTAACTGCCCTTAAAATTATATCGTCCATTGTTGTCAGCCGTGTCCCAGGATATAAGAGAGACAAGATGGGTGAGGTAATCTTTTATTGGACCAACTTCTGCGGTGAGAGAAAGAGAAGCTTTAGAGCTACACAGAGGAAGAGCTCTTAAAATTATGAGAAGATTTTAAAAATGACTATGTGGATCTATTGGACTTTGGATACCTCAGCCCCAGCCCTGAAAAATAAAGACCTTCCATTCCTTAACCCGTTAAAGTTCTATCTTGTATCCCAAAGCCATGCCCACCTGATTTAGCTTCCTAAAACTCCTTGATGCCCTAGGCTTGAGCAAACTACTAAACTTAAATCCCACCTCAAAAAATTCCAGTTACGCAAGCTTGTGTTATCTCAGCCCTAGGTCTTACCTTGGTGAGCGTGATATAGGAGAGACACGGCATTTGCTCCACTGAGTGCTTAGTGAATTATTTCTTTGCATTTGTAGATGAAGTTTCACAAAGCTAAGGCACATTTCACTCTCTGAAGAATGTAGATTCCTTAATGGAGAAATAAGATCTGGTTTATTCTCTTCTTGAGCATCAGGACATTTGACGAAATTAATCAAAGAATGAATGATAATTAATGCACATATATAGAGGTGAAAATATCAATCTATATTTAGGATCAGCAGCTGAAGGGTTTTTTTTTCCTCCCAGAATATATAAGGAAAATTTCCTTCATCTCTAAAGAAATCCAAGGCATACCATAAGCACACTGGTAGCCCCCTTTTAATTTGATTACATGTCTGTTTAAATTTAACATTTAGAACTAATTAGGCTGTGCCCACATGGGGATCAGAACTATTTAAACATGCGTCCCTGACTGCCATGGATAGGGATGGTAGCTGGAGAGCGATGCCAGTCAAACCATGCTGTAGACTCTAGCATATGTAGTTCTGACAGAAAAGACCCCTGTATCATACTGACCAGGGAGAAGTGCTGAAACCCTGGCAGGCCTTGTCCTCATTACACTTTTCCCACCACTGGCAACAGTGAGAGTTCTCATGCAGACACCTGCTGGCATTTTTACATCCTGTGTAATCTTACTTTGAGAAAAGACAGATGTCAGCCTAGTGGGTACAATACCAGTGGCCAATCTACACTCTCACTCCCACTGGTGGAGCTGTGCTACTTGAGAGCTGATCATATGCTGCTGGTCATATAGTCAGACCACCCTCACATAGTCTCCCCCCACCCATTTTATGATATAAGCACTACAAGGATTTCCACTGACAACAATCATTGGGAGGCAGTGGTGACTTGTGACTTTTTTGACCGGTGCGGCACAAATCACAAAACAGTTATTTCCACTCCAGTCCCTGTCCAGTGTATACTTTGACAGATGTTAAACACATACCTTATTTACAGTAACAAAGCAGCAAGTGGTCCTGGGAGTTGGAGCCACCACTGCCACCCAGGCCAGCTTGGGGGTGGAGCAGGAGACATGTCTGGGAGTTTTTCACCTTCCTCTGCGGCATGGGGCACAGGTCACTTGCTGGTTTAAACTAGAGTAAATGGTGAATTCTCAGTTTTAAATCATGATTTGAGGACATCAGTAACTCAGCCAGAGGTTAGGGGTCTATTACTGAATGGGGTGAGTGAAGTTATGTGGCTTGCAACATGCAGAAGGTCACACTTGATGATCACAATGGTCCCTTCTAGCCCTAACGTCTATGAGTCTATTCCAGTGAATAATGTAGCTGGAGTCAACGTACCTTAGGTCGAGTTACCACGGGGTCTACACTGCAGGAGGTCGACGGGAGAAAAATCTCCCATCGACTTACCTTACTCTTCTTGTCAGGGGTAGAGTATGGGGTAGACTGGAGAGCGATCTGCAGTCAATTTGGTGGGTCTTTACTAGACCCATTAAATCGACCACCGGTGGATCGATCTCAGAGCCCTAAATAGAATAGAAATTTATATGATTCCCAACTACACTTAGTGAGTTATTTAAAGATGTTATGCTCTGTTCCCAATGCCCATTGTACCTTCCAAAGCCCCTTTTCCCTTTCCTTATGTCTTCCATCATGGTAGTTACCTCTGCTGATAACATGGGTGAGATGCGTCAAGTTGATGCCAAATCCTGTTGCTGTCAATAAGGGTTTGTGCCAGAATATTTTTATCATAATACCAGGGGCCCATTGACATTGAACTACTAGAAGCTGCAGAGATGAGATGACTCACACGATTCAAGACAGTTCTATTAACACTGTGTTGCAGTTATCAATGGGCTACAGGAGTCATACGTCACTGGAAGGATTTCAGTTGTTTGTGGTGTGGAATAGAAGTTTCTCATGTATTTGTATTGATGTCGTAATAGCTTAAACTAAGCAAAATCAAATGGCAGATTGCGAGACAAGGACTTCAGCTGCAGAAAACAATAATGGATAGCAAAACTGCTATCGACCTCATTGACACCAGGGTTTGGTCTTAGTACACCCCGCCCCCCTCCTTTTTAACTAATAGGAAATTGTACACCCAGAAATGATGTTAAAATAATAATATGCAGATCAAAATCAACCAAAGTAAGGAAGCCAGTATGACTTTGTAATTCAGTTAACAGATTGCTTCTTTGTCTAACCATTGCATGAGTAGTAACCTCCAGTCAAACCCAGATCAAAATATCCCCTAACTCTGAGTAGTTTGGCTCAAGAGCCAAAAGTTTGTGCTTGGGCCCATCACTAACCATGTGTGATGAAGCAACTAGGCACACCAGAGCGAGCAAAGGGTGGAATGGAAATCATAACTGAGAAAGTCTTTTTTGTTGTTGGATAAGTCAGCTATTTCAAAATAGAATTTGGCATTTAATATACAGGACAACTAGGTGTGAAAGACATACTAATATCTACCCTCTTCTCTTGCAGGATGACTTTCTGTTTAGTGTCTCCATTCTAAGTGGAATCCTTTGCTCTATCTTGGCAGTGATCAAATTTATGTTGGGAAAGGTCCTTACAAGCAGAGCACTGGTAACTGATGGTGAGTAGGAAAATATCTCATTCCTCATACAAAATCATTCAAATAATATCATGTGGATTGAGAACTGGCTGAAGATTCAGGAAAAAAAGGGCAACTATGCATGGCAAAATATTGAAATGAAAGCACATGGCTAATGGGGTACCTGAAATCTAACACCATTCACTGGTATTATTTAGTATCTTACACAATATGGAACAGATGACTTCAAGAAGGCTAAAGTGTTTAATGCCTGTTTTGCTTCAGTCTCGCTAAAAAGGTTAATGGGGACCAGGTACTTAACACAATTAATTTTAACAATTGTAGTGAAGGAACACAAGCCAAAATAGGGAAAGAACAGGTTAAAGAATATTTAGATATGTTAGACATATTCAAGTCAACAAGGCCTGATGAAAATCATCCTAGGGTACTCAAGGAACTAGTTGAAGCAATTTTGGAATCACTAGCAATTATCTTCAAGAACTCCTGGAAAACAGGTGAGATTCCAGAGGACCGGAGAAGGGCAAAACATAGAACCTATCATTAAAAGAGGGGAACAAAGAGGACCAAGGAATTATATACCAGTCTGTTTAACTTCAATACTTGAAAAGATAGTGGAATAAATTATTAAACAGTCAATTTGTGTGGAGCTAAAGGATAATAGCCAGCATGGATTTGTTAAGAACAAATCATGCCAAATCATACTAAATGCCTTCTTTGAGAGGGTTACTGGCCTGGTGGATAGGAGGGAAGCTGTAGTTGACACAGTTCCCTCATAGGGGGACACAGACATTCTCATAGGCAAATGGGGGAAATGTGGTCTGATGAAATTACTATAAGGTGGGTGCAAAACTGGTTGAAACGCCTTACTCAAGTAGTAGTTCTCTGTGAAATGTCAATGGTTCACTGTCAAAGTGAGATATATCTCATGGGGTCTAGCAGGGGTCTGTCCTGGGTCCAGTGCCGTTCAATATTTTCATGAATGACTTGGATAATGAACTGGAGCATATGCATGTAAAATTTGTAGTTGACACCAAGATGGGAAGTGTTACAAGCACTTTGGCTAATAGAATTAGAATTCAAAATTCTTTGACAAATTAGGGAATTGGTCTGAAAACAAGATGAAATTCAATAAAGACAAGTGCAAAGTACTACACTTAGAACAGAATAATCAAATGCACAAATACAAAAAAGGAAATGATTGGGTAGGCTGAAAAGATCTGGGAGTTAATAGTGGATCACAAATTGAATATGAGGCAACGTCATGCAGTTGTAATATAATTCTGGGGTGAATTAACAGGAGCATCATATGTGAGTAACAGTGGGTAATTGTTCCATTGACTTGGCACTGGTGAGGAGTATTGGAATACTGTGTTGAGTTCTGGGTGCTACACATTGGAAAAGATGTGGACAACTTGGAGAGTCCAGAGGAGAGCAACAAAAATGATAAAAGGTTTAGAAAACCTGACCACAACAGAACCACTAACCCAGGAACCTATCCTTGCAACAAAGCCCGTTGCCAACTGTGCCCACATATCTATTCAGGGGACACCATCACAGGGCCTAATCACATCAGCCACACTATCAGAGGCTCGTTCACCTGCACATCCACCAATGTGATATATGCCATCATGTGCCAGCAATGCCCCTCTGCCATGTATATTGGTCAAACTGGACAGTCTCTACGTAAAAGAATAAATGGACACAAATCAGATGTCAAGAATTATAACATTCATAAACCAGTCGGAGAACACTTCAATCTCTCTGGTCACGCGATTACAGACATGAAAGTTGCAATATTACAACAAAAAAACTTCAAATCCAGACTCCAGTGAGAGACTGTTGAATTGGAATTCATTTGCAAATTGGGTACAATTAACTTAGGCTTGAATAGAGACTGGGAGTGGCTAAGTCATTATGCAAGGTAACCTATTTCCCCTTGTTTTTTCCTCCCCCCACCCCCCCTCCTCTGATGTTCTTGTTAAACCCTGGATTTGTGCTGGAAATGGCCCACCTTGATTATCATACACATTGTACGGAGAGTGATCACTTTAGATAAGCTATTACCGACAGGAGAGTGGGTTTGAGTGTGTGTGTGGGGGGAGAAAACCTGGATTTGTGCTGGAAATGGCCCACCTTGATTATCATACACATTGTAAGGAGAGTGATCACTTTAGATAAGCTATTACCAGCAGGAGAGTGGGGTGGGGGGAGAGAAAACCTTTTGTAGTGGTAAACACCCATTTTTTCATGCTTTGTGTGTATAAAAAGATCTTCTATACTTTCCACAGTATGCATCCGATGAAGTGAGCTGTAGCTCACGAAAGCTTATGCTCAAATAAATTGGTTAGTCTCTAAGGTGCCACAAGTACTCCTTTTCTTTTGACCTCTGAGGAAAGGTTAAAAAAACTGAGCATGTTAAGTTTTGAAAAAAGACAGAGAGGACCTGATAACAACCTTCCAATATGCAAAGGGATGTCGTAAAGAGGGTGGTGATCAATTGTTCTCCATGTCCACTGAAGGTAGGACAAGAAGTAGAGGGATTACTCTTCAGCAAGTGAGATGTAGTTTAGATATTAGGAAAAAACTGACCTTGAATGTCACTGACAGACTAGTGGGCCTAAATGGGTACGGGAGCTTTCTGTTGAGCCTCACTTGTCTCTGGAGACTTTAGTTTTACGGATTCCCTCGCCCCTCCACCCCACATCCCACTCCAGCCAGTTAATTTCCATTCTGTGTTTTCCCCGTAACCCTCCCCTATCCATTTAGAGGCTGGTTTTAGCTCTCCCCATCCATCTCCAGTTCATCTCTGGTAACTAACCCATGTCTCACTTTTGTGAATGTTTTTTTCCCCTTAACTACTTCCTTTCCCACCTGACTCTGACCTCCCAGACCTGCTACAGACACCTCCCTCCTAACATCCCTTAGGATTGTTCACTGAATCCAGAACTATGAAGTCATGGGGACCGCTGAGGTTATTAAGTCATGCCCCCTGGTGTGGCTTTCAGCAGCTTCTGGCCACCTGTCTTTCCTATGTAAAATCTTAAAGGAACCACATCGCTGGGAGGCGTTGAAGGAGCTACTGGGTCAGTGGGAGGGGAGCATTATGTGCCTTCGTCATTCAGACAAGTTCTTATAGGCATCATCTGTTAAGGTCTCTGCTCCTTATAGATTTCACATTGTAGTATTAATCTTATGGCACCTTCCACTGAGGATCTCTGAGCTCTTTACAAACAAAAAAGAAATAAGCCTTAATCTCTCTGATTGGGTGTGTGTTAGCCTCATTTTGCAGATGATGATACTGAGACACGTTACCAGTAAGTTCGTTTCCCCAAATCATACAAATTAGATTCAGAGCTGGGAATAGAACCCAGACCATACCATTATGGTGTCTCTGGTCAAAGTTGATTCAACAAGTATTTCATTTTCTACTACTACACGAGTCTTTAGAATCTGAATTTCAGGCTGCTATACCAAATAATTATTTGGGTTGCCATAGGTTACAACTTTCACAATGCAGTCGGTTGTATACTTAAGCAAACGGTCTCTGTTTTCCCTTAATTTTAAGTGACATACAAAGGCACTTAGGTGCATAGGAAGCAATTGAAAGACAAGAGGGACACAGGATTCGGATACTGTTCTGTCTAT